TATGTTAGATTGAGGCACTACCTCAATAACATATGGTAGGACAATATGACATTTAATAGTCTGAACATCATTTGTGAAATGTTAATGAGTGGACCCTTCTAGAGGAGGGAAAGCGACTTATGCACTAGCCCGCTACTACATCTGCTTGTGTGGTCCCTCACCATCTCTCAAGATGAGTGTACAAAGAAAAAACCCTACTAAGAAGACCCTAGTCATTTCCATAAGATGAACACACTTAATCGATCTCTAATGCATTACCCTAACCAACCTATGCAAAATTAATCATAAAAATAATTTAATTGTTGAGGATGGTTGGAAGGGATTCCCACATTCGTTAGCGGAGGGAATGATCATGAGTTTACAAGTAAATCATACTTCTCCATTTGTACGAGGCCTTTTAGGGAAACCCAAAGCAAATCTACGAGAGCTTATGCTCAAAGTGGACAACATCATACCATTATGGAGTGTCGTGATTCCTAACATTAATGTCTTAAAACATATTTTGGGAACATTTATTAATAGTATATTTTATCTTATTTTCATAGGTGGGTTAATAGTATATATTCTCTTATTTAAACGTCCCAAACTCTCTTTCTATGAAATTTGATATACAACAATAAGATAGGTACCAGAGAGGAAAAGTGTTTGAATATAAGACAAATTTGCATTCCTTCTCCTCATTGCAACCACAACCAAGCAGTGTAAAGAGGAGGCTATTTGGTTCTTCAACCAATATCCTTTGCTTCTTGGATTCTTCTCAATGTTCGTTGAAAAGAATGAGAGATTCTTGATGCATGTTGCCAAACTGCGAATATTTATTTTTTTTATTATTATTATTATTCATTCATTCATTCATAAATTCAGACACACACAAATAATTTGTTAGGTATATTTTTATCTGAGGGATTTAGAGGCTGAATTTGACGGAGGGTTGGAGGTGAAAAATGCTCAGAAAACCTCCCGGAATCTTGGAAAAAAATTAAAAAGTTTGGATCAAAGTCAACCGAGGAGTAAAATGGTAATTTTCTCCCTTTGACTATCCTGGGTCCGGGAGACCTTGGTCAGACCAACAAAAAAGAGAAGAAAGAAGAACACACGAAAAGAAAAGGGATTTGTTCAAATTCAGCACGAGAGTTTCACAAGAAAAGAAGTTCGAATGTTGAACGTTCGTTTTCATCAAGAACTTAAAAAGAAAACGTATTGAAGGTATTCATGAGAGAGTTAGAACTTGAAATTTAAACATGTTGTTCTAGGAGAAGTTCTTCATAGATCTCGTATTGAAGTTTGGCTAGGAATCGTGGTGAAACTCGGAGCTTTAAGAAGCCTTTTAGTTTCAGTAAGATCACATAAATTCCAAAGTTTAAACAAGTTTATTAAGATATATGATCGATCACCCAAAAAAAAAAAAAATGATAAGACAATTATTTATGGAAAGTTGGATTTGAGACCTACAACTCTAGTGAAGGAGTTCAATAGATACAGATATGCGCGAGAAGTCAAGAAATCCCAAAGAAAATAGGTTGGAAATCAGAAAACTCATTATATTTGGGAATTAAAATGTAGGTGAGAGGTTTCTAGAGTTGGGTGGATCGTGCAATAAGCCTCTCTCGACCCTCCCTTTCTCATACGGTGACATGCGTCGACAAACAAGAGGTGGAACGTGGCTTGTGTAGAAAAGGGCACACGTCAAGCATGGAACAGTGAACCCAATCCAAAATCTACGTGCGACCCGAGAGTCTGATACCCAACCCAAATTTTCAGTCGATCTACGGTCCGATCCATCAACCCAAAACTGACTTGACTCAAATTAGTAAGTATAGTCGAATGCTAGTAATGAAACTTAGATCTCACTAGTCATGATAGTCTAACTATGTTTTTTTATGGTCGAGTGATATGATTATAGCTTGAAATTTTCTTGGAATTCCAATTAAAAGTTTGAAATTTTAACACAAAGTCCGAACCAAAATTAATTTCTCAATTTTTCTTTTTAAATTAAAAGTGTTGTGATTTTATTGAGAGTTTTAGAAACTCAAGAAGTTAACTTTCTATGTCAACTCAAGGGGCAAAATTGTCATTTTAATGATGAGGATTCTATTAAAGGCCTAATCTGAATTGGAAAGGGAAAATAAAATGGGAAAAAAGGAAAATGAAAAGAAAAGAAATAAAGAAAGTACTAAGGCTTTGAGAGAGAAGATGATAGAGAATCTAAAATCATGCGACTTTGGTGAAGAAATCAAATTGATTCCGAGCCTATTTTGGACTCATTTATCTATCTCCACAATTAATGAAATTGAGTTTGAATACTTTTGTTTGAAACTTAGACTAAATCATGCTACTTTGGTGAAGAAATCAAATTGATTCGAGATACTAAGAAAAAGATACAAATTCAAAAGAAAATAGGTTGAATACGATATTGTAAGAAATTTGGAAAGAAAATGATGGAGAAACCAATGTGCATACGACACGTTGGATGGTGAATTGCAGAATGCTGGTTGGCACGGACACTACCACGTGTTGAGAAAAGGCAAAGGAAGTGCATTTGGCTGGGAGAGAGACGTGTATTGAAGTTTGTTTGGCATGCACATATCTGTGGATCGACCCGACCCAACCCGTTTTTTGCCTTCGAACCAATCCACGACCCAAAATTTGATCTGAATCCCATGACCCGAACCTCTTGCTTTTGCTTCAACTTAATCTCTACACATCAATGAGTACTAGCCATGTGTTGTGCAATGAGTGCGTTCAACTGTTTTTCATCTTGATTTCAATACTAACCCTATCATGCAAATGTCATTCATGAAAGTAGCCGATCTAATTTTTCTCCCGTAATACTTGTAGGGATAATTATAACATGCTAACATGCAAGCATATCTTACCTTTAAGTGGTTAAAATATGCATGTTTAGGACCTCACAAGCGAATTTTTGGATGAGAATGCAAGTATATTATAAAAAATTATTAAAATACCCCTAGGATGTGCTAACATGCTAGCATATCTTACCTGAGGTCGTTAGAATATGCATGTTTAGGACCTCATAAGAGAATTTTTGGATGAAAATGCAAGTATATATAAAAATTTACTAGAATACCCCTAGAATGAGAATTTAGGATGCATCCCGATTTTAATGTTTACTACCGTGCTAGAATGAAGGATGAGATATTCTGATCTATGTCCTGACGATTGATGGATGTTATCTCTCTGTAGAGCTTGTACTAATGCATAATATAATATGTTTAGCTTCAGTTGGTTGATTGTGTGTTCTCCCTATAAAACATGTTTATGTGCATAGAGCTGGAGTTAGGGCGCTAGAGTTACGACTAGATGATGACCTAGGTCAAGATGTCTCCAGTGGATTAAGCACCTTTGGATCGTGAACAGTGATCAGAGGGTTTAAACTCTAGTGCTTTCAGACTAAGAAAGACTGGAGAAGTTGGAACAGTATCCTTGAGTCGGAAGTTCGTATTATGCCACTCAGCCACCCTAAGAATCGAGTAAACCTCCTCAGCTCCTAAAGATGACCAAGGTAATGTATAGATTTTGTTTCTTAGGCTTTAGGTGGTCGATATAAATATTCTCAAACACAATATGCATATGTGAACCAAGTTAAGACTAGGGTGCTACACTTTGAGTGGTTTACACATTGACATAGGTCACTACATTTACAGTTAACTGGGCACCTTAGGATCGTCAGCACCAATCAGAGTTCTAGACTTATGTGGACCTAGTGATTGGATTAGTCCTAAGGGGTTAACCTCGAACATTCTAGAAACATGAGATTAGATTTAAACTGCCTAGATACTCCTAAGAACCTAATAGACCTCCACGACATTCAGGATTGACTAATGTAACTCACCAAGTAGTTAGCATTATGACAGCGCCATCAGAGTCTTTGCCTTCTACTTCTCCGATATGCCTTTAGTGCTAGCAGCGCCCTACAAAGAGATAGTAGTATAGGTACCGTTGAGCTAAGCCTAAGCCAAATAGTGCAATGCATCGACTAGGTATCCTTACCTAGAGGAAATGACTAATTGACTCCTAAATGGGGCCATTGTGTAGTAGAAACCTATCTTGGGAGGGAATGTGGTATCATGCAATAAGATTCAATAGTTGGCCAACACACGGGGTCATTTCCCCAAACTAGGGTGATTATATGGTCCTGTGGGAGAGTTTGCCGGCTAACCTCTCATGGATGATGTTCAGACTAGATAGCAAATACCATACCGTCCCACTAGATGATTATGATGTAGTGCTTCAACCCTAGATACTAGTGATTCATCCAAATGTTAGAAAACCTATACAAACCCATAGGGGCAATATTCAAAATAAAGATCTACTCAAAACTTTTAGACCTCTCAGATGCTCAAATAACAGTAGAGACTAGGCCCGAACTTCCTAATGCTCAAGTAAACCTATGGATACCTACTAAGTTAAGAATGTGATGAGAGCTTACAAGTAAGTTGCTTGCTGATTATTTTTATACTCACCCCTTTCCTCTCTCTTTTTCCAGGTCTTGGCAGGAGCTGTTCAAGGTGGAGCATTTGAGAGCTCCATAGTCACAAAGAGAATCGTTCTAGAGCGTTAGTCCGTCTTTACATGTTAATTAGTTTTACATGAATTTGTTTGAAACATGGATGATGTGCATGTAGTAATAATATTTTCTCAATTCATGTCCCAACATATTTCAATCTTTACACAACATATAAACAAACAAAAATCAAAATACTTTTGACTTCAATCAATTCCATAAATCCCATCAACTTTCCACACAAGTATTTCATCAATCATAATGAATTACACATCTATTCCTCGATTCCTTTCCAACTAACACGACTATCTTATTCCAAAAAGATAAGAAAAAGAAACCCATAAAGAAGCAAAAAAGGAACATACAATCCAATCCAAAAGAATTGGATTCTCCATTTACTTACCATTAAATATTATACGAAGCTTCCTCCCATTAGCATATACTCCTCTTCTATAAAAAGAACCCTTTGGCTCTTCCTTAGATTACTATCAACAAGGCTTCGAAGAACACAAAAGAAAAGAAAAGGCTTTGATCATCAGAGGGAGCTGAAGCTGGAGAGCTCATTAACCTTTCTTTCTTTGTTTCCTTTTATGTCCATGAATGGAAATAGGGCGTTCCAACCCTCACCATCGGGCTGAATCAAACAACATAAAAATGGAGGGGAAGGTTCGTATGGTACCCATAATTTGAAAGTTCATAGACTAAATTTTACAGATTTTAATTAAAATGTTAGAAAACGACCAAGTTTCTTGTTGAAAATTTTAGTTTAATAAAATATTTGAATTATTAGCCAAATTCTAAAATTCTATTGTTTTTTTCGTTATTTGATGGTCCTTAATTTTACAGAATAAGTTCAAAATATATCCAAGGGGACTAGATATTACGTGGGGCAACGACAATCGTTATTGGATGTTATCAGACATGTAAGCTCTAAGCTGCAACTTTGTTTTTTTTTTTTTTTTTTTTTTTTTTTTTTTTTTTTTTTTTTTTTTTTTTTTTTTTTTTTTTTTTTTTTTTTATGAAGTTTAATCTGAAATTTATTTTGTTAACTTGATTTTATAGATTTCGTTGTAGAAAAACCGAAAGGAATAATAATAATTAAAAAAAAGGTCTTCTTTGATGAATCACTATTCCTCCTGAGAATATATGCTAAAACCATGACACTAAAGGGCGAAAGTTCCCTTTGATAATTCTTTATTGAATCAAATAAATTACAAAGAATACGAAAAGATGAACAAAATTCAAGATATTTGTCTATAAGAAAGAGACAAATACGATACCTATGATAGATTGTAAATATCTATATATTTGTCTTGTTGGATGATGAAAGTCCCCCATCAGCTAATTTAGGGAATGATCATGGGTTTATAAATGAGGAATACTAACTCTATTGGCATGAGGCTTTTTGAGGAACCCCAAAGCAAAGTCAAAAGTCATGAGAGCTTATGCTCAAAGTAGATAATATCATATCATTATGGAGAGTCGTGCTCGTCTAACGGTCAAATAGGGTATCCTTTCAATACATAGTGTTTGATCTAAAAGCTAAGTGATATTTATGCTACTTTCTTGTGGATCTTTTCCTCTTCCTATAAGTTTCCTTTGGGAAGAGCCATCTAATTGAGTTGCTCTTTTAAGCCCATTGTTCCATGTAATAGTAGAAGAAATAAAATTTTTACACGAAAGGAAGAGTACATAGATGAACTGACGACATCAAATGAGAGTGATTTAAGAGTAAGATTGTTGAACCGAGATTAAAACAATTCAAGTTATTACCTATACCAACAAGGTTCACTTTCTTTTTTTTGATAGCTCAATTATTGTAATGGGCTAAATCTACTGTTAGCTGATATTGTCATTTTTGGGCTTTTCCTCTCGGGCTTCCTCATTTTTAAAACGTCTCTGCTAGGGAAAAGTTTCCACACCCATATAAAAGATGTTTCGTTTTCCTTCTCAACGATGCGGGATCTCACAATTCACTCTAAGAGTGCTTCGTTCTCCTCCCCAACCGATGTGGGATCTCACAATCATATAAACTCTAAAGTTAAACATGATTTGCTTTGACCAATTCTAAGTTGGATGACCTCTTACTTATTTTCCTATGAAACATGTGAATGAGGACAAGAAAATGTGTTAATTTGTGGAGATAATAGTTTTCATTCGAGAATCGACAAATAAGTAACGCGGTTATGTTACAAAGGATACAGGTTCCATATCGGAATTCCTTTGTTTCTTTCAATTGTGTTCATAATTTGTTGTTATTGTGATTTTGTAGGGAGGCGGAAGACAGTTTTGCAGAACTAAAACAAGTAAATTGGCTAGAAGTAACTGGTTCAACACCGAAAAATCTAAAGATTGGGGCTTGGTTCAAAGTGAGTTTCAATGTGACACTAAGACCCAATGCTTTTGGATGGGATGAGTGTAATGTTTACATAATGGCTAAGATTGGGAAAAAGGGGCATTACAGTTTCAAGAAGCTGAATCTTAATGTTAAACAACCAGAAGGAAGATTTAACATTCCCCATAATGAATTAAAAATTAAAGTTGCCAAGCCCAAAAACGGATCCGAAGAGGATCTCAAGCTCTACTTTGGTATGTATGAAGTTTGGAGCAACAGATGGAAAGGAGGGTTGAGGATCTATCATGCACTAGTTGAGGAGTGCGAGGCACCAAAAGAGAAAAAATTATGATGATCGTGTCTATAACAATTGCTATCGACTCGACGTGTGGTTTCAAGAACATGAGAATAATAGGAGAATAATAGAAGAATAATGTACTTGTAAATGTTGGCTGAATTCACTCCACCATATTTGAGAGTTCTCTTATTTATAATCAAATACAGAAATATGTTAAATTACAAATAATATGAAAATAACAATAAAAGGAAAGAATAATAAATGAATACAATATATTTGTATTTAATAAAATGACAAATATGGTAAGCCGTAATGTAAGGCAAATATCTAGATATTTTCCTTATAATGAACGGTCAACTATCCTTAACACCCCCCGCAAGCTGAGCGTCGGATTTGAACGAACGTGAAGCTTGGATCTGAAAAATTTAAAGAGAGGTCAAGAAATACTTTTTGTGAAGATGTCAGCAACTTGGAGATGAGAGGTTACATAATGTGTGCGAAGTTTGCCAGCAATAACAAGTTCTCAAAGAAAATGATAATCTAGTTCAACATGTTTGGCTCGCTTGTGAGAAACGGGATTAGAGCTCAAAAAAATAGCACTTTTGTTGTCACATAAGAGTAAGGCCTGCTGTGAAATAGGGACCTTGAGGTCATGCAAAAGATGCGTAACCCAAAGAAGTTCAGCAACAGTTGTGGCAAGAGCACGATACTCAGATTCACAGCTGGAGCATGAGACAGTAGGTTGCGTTTTGGCACTCTAAGAAATGAGATTGTTACCAAGATAAATAGAATAGCCAAATGTAGAACGACGAGTATCGGGACAACCAGTTCAGTCAACATCTGAATAAGCGACTAGCGTACTAGGAACAGTGGATGGACGAAAGGTAAGACCAAAGTGGAGTGTTTCTTTGACATAGCGAAGAATACGTTTGACAGCAAGAAAGTGATCTGCAGCAGGGGCATGCAAGAATTGACTGATAGAATTGACAGCATAGACAATATCTGGACTCGTAATAGTCAAGTACTGAAGGGCGCCAACAAGAGATCTATAGAGAGTAGGATTAGAGAAAGGAGAACTATCAGCAGTCAGGTGTTGAGAAACAACCATGGGAGTGTGAACTGGTTTGCTATCGTAATTGAGCACGAGAAAGAATATCTCGAGCATATTTTAACTGACTAATAAAGAGACCATCAGGAGTGGGTGAGGCTTCAAGACCAAGAAAGTAACTAAGAGAACCCAAATCTTTGGTAGCAAACTCAAAATGAAGCTTGCGAGTAAAGCTGTCAATAAGAGATGAGTTGTTGTCGGTAACAATATTTCCATCAACATAAAGAAGCAAATAGATAAGGTTAGATTGCTGATGAAAGACAAAAAAGAACGTGTCAGTGTGACTGCAAGAAAACCCAAGTGTGAGAAGAAATAAGCTAAAACGCTAAAACTAGGCACGAGGAGCTTGCTTTAAGCCATAGAGGGCTTTCTTTAATATACAAACATGAGTGGGAAATCGAGGATCAATATACCCAGGAGGTTTTTCCATATGAACATGTTCAATAAAAGTTTCATTGAGAAAAGCATTCTTGACATCAAGTTGTCGAAGAGGCCATTTTTTTGTGACTACAAAAGAAAGCACAACACGAACAGTGGTAGCTTTGACAACCGGACTGAAAGTGTCAATGTAGTCAAGACCAAGAACCTGAGTATAACCTTTGGCAACAAGACGAGCTTTGAAACGCTCAACGGATCCATCAGGAAAATATTTAATACGAAACACCCATTTAGAGACCATGATGTTGGTGTTGGCAAGGCGAGGAACCAAAGTCCAAGTATCATTTTGTTGTAACGCTCGAATTTCTTCATCCATGGCAACCACCCAAGCAAGATTCTTAGCTGCAGATTTGAATCCTTTTGGCTCAATGGATGCAAAAAGAGTAGAAAGAAGTCTAGATGAGCCCAAAATACCAAGATTTGCTAGATGACGAGTCTTGAATATACCAACTTTCGCTCGTGTGATCATAGGATGAGTTCTCAAAGAAGAGGTATCAATAGTAGGTTCAATAGAGGTCGAATTAGAAGTCGAGGGTGGAAAAGTGGAACCTGCAAAAGAAGTATCAACCTGCACAGACTCATCCACAAGGTTAGAACAAATATCACACAGGGATGAACTGGATCGAGGAATGTGCGGTGATGAAGTGGTAGGGGGGATGAATCAATATGACAAAGATGTGGTTCCAAAAAATTTGAAATAGGAATAGAGGAAAGAGGTTGGGCCTAGGAGCTAGAGATAGCATGAAAGTGAGTTTCATCAAATTGAGCATGACGGGTGATATAAAGCTTAGTGGTGGCAGGATCAAGACAGCGGAACCCTTTATGAGCAAGACTATAACCCAAAAAAATACAAGAAATGTTGCGGGGAGAAAGCTTGTTAGGCATATAATCACGTAAATAAGGATAAACACGACAACCAAAGGGATGAAAATTGTCATAATGTAGAGTGTAGCCATAAAGAAGTTCAAAGGGTGACTTACCTCCAAGAAGTGGAGTAGGAAACCAGTTGATAATATAAGCTCTGGTGCTGAAGGCGTCAACCCAAAAACAAGGAGAAAGATGAGAGTGAAAGAGAAGGGCCAAGCCAGTCTTAGACACATGGCGATGTTTTCTCTCAGCACGACCATTTTGAGCAAGTGTATATGGACAAGAGAGTTGATGGTGGATGCCAAAATTACGTAAATGAGTTTTGAAACAAGTACTAATAAATTTGGTACCACCATCGTTTTGAAATACCTTGATACGAGAAGAATATTAATTTTTCATAAATTTTTGAAATTGAAGAAAAATATCAGAAAAATTAGATTTAAATTTTAAAGAGTAAAGCCAAGTGAATCGAGAATAATCATCAATAAAAATAACATAATAAAGAAAACCCAAATTTGATTTGACGGGAGAAGGACCCCAAAGATCACAATGAATAAGATCTAACACATGAGACGACCTACGTCCATTGTGGGAATAAGGCAATCGATGACTTTTCGCAAGCTGACAAGTATTACATAATGATGGAGAAGGCAATAAAAACGTAAGAGAAATATGACCTTTTCTATTTAAAAAAGAAATAACAGAATGATTCACATGATCCAGACGAGCATGCCATAAATCATATGAAACACGTAAAGATTTATTTCTAAGGACTGAAATAAAAGCAGGATTGCCGCGCTCCAGCACATGTAGCCCTCCATCTCTTTTACCGGTTGCCACCACCCTTCCTGTTTGACGATTATGGATAGTAATAAGATTATTAATAAATGTAACGGAGAGAGGAAAATCAGACGTTAATTTACTAATAGAAAGAAGATTTTTAGTGAGTTGAGGGACAACCAAGACATCTAATAAGTGAATATTTGGAACAGGATAAAGAGTACCGGTGTGGGTAATGGGTAGAGATGCACCCTTTCCTACGATCATAGAGTTCTTTCCCATGTAATTTTTAGATTGATCCAGAATAGATGGGTCGGTAGTCATATGGGCCGAAGCCCCAGTGTCTAGAAACCAATCAGCAGCATCGGGTCCAGCAATAGAACATGACGTGTTAAAGGCTTCAGTAAGGTGAGCATGAGAAGAATCAGGTCGAACATACTGTTGGTTGCAGCGGTCAGCATAATGGCCCTCTTTGCGGCATATTTGGCAGTGAGGTGGTCGACGACCCTAACCTGAGTGGGTTCGTCCTCGATTAGAAGAGTTGTTTTCGTGAGAGTAAGAACGACCTTGCTGGTTGCTAAAGAAAGCAGGGTGGCTTCCATGGGTGCGACCACGATTAGTGGCTGTGAATGCTGTAGGAGTGGAGTCAGAGGACTCAAGGGAGCGCTGGAACAACTCAAAACTTTCAGCTTAAGAGACTAAATCTGCAAAACAAGGGATAGGGGTGAGAGCCATCTGAGTAGTAGAAAAAGCTGAAAATTCGGTGCCGAGTCCACGAAGGAACTAGTGCACTTTATCAATGTCCTCGACAGGTCTGCCAATGGCATGAAGTTGGTCGCAAATTATTTTGAAGGCACGGGCATACTCAGCAACAGGTTTGGTGCCACGTTTCATCAACTGCAAGTCATTCTTGAGTCACAGTTCACAAGCTTTTGACTGATGGCTGAACGTAGTTTCGAACGCAAGCCATACATCACGTGCAGTAGAGAGACCAACGACAACAGCCATGGCTTCCTCAGTGAGAGAGGAGAGCAGGAGACAGAAAAGTCGTTGATCGGCTGCTCTCCATGCCAAATATTTGGGGTTGAGTGTTGAGGAGGTTTCTGGTTCAAAGCGAGGTGGTGGAACCATAGTTCCATCAACATAGCTCAACATGTCTTGACTTTCAAGGAGAGGGAGAAGTTGGTTTTTCCAAAGAGGATAATTGGAGGAAGAAAGTTTGATGGTGATCATATGGATTAGAGTATTGAAAGAAAGAAGATGATAAGAAGATTCGAAAGCCATAGAGAAGAAAGGATCAGGGTTGTTAAATCGAAAGGGCTCTGATACCATGTAAATGTTGGCTAAATCCACCACACCTAAATGGTCGTGAAAGTTCTCTTATTTATAATCAAATACAAAAATATGGTAAATTACAAATAATATAGAAATAACAATAAAATAAAAGAATAATAAATGAATACACTATATTTGTCTTTAATAAAATGGCAAATATTATAAGCCGTAATGTAAGACAAATATCTAGATATTTTCCTTATAATGAACGGTCAACTATCCTTAACAGTACTTATGTATCCACTAGTATTATGGTGATACTAAATTTTTAATGTATTTCGTGGATTTTATTTGTTTTAGAAGAATATGCACCAAAAATATGTATTGTATTTGTTGATATGTTGGGAAATTTCCATATTGAGTATGTTTGGCTATCTCTAGAAATCTTTCAACTTGGAGAAGTTGGATACGAAGTGCTTTAACATGTTTAAGTTTTGGGTACTTATTGGGATGGAAGTTGTGTCCAAGTAGAAGAACATGAAGTTTAAGTTGGATCATACATATAAACAAAAAAGACTAAAAAAACGATGGTCAAACTAAGAAAAGAGAGAAGGAAAACATGGGTCGTAGCGCGAGTTCCTTGGTTTCACACAGAGCATGTGCCCTGTGTTACAACCTCGCTAAAAGAAAGTAGTTTGTGCCCCCACATGCAAGAGAGACGAGGGGCGACCCTTAAGTGGCACCCATCCAGCCACGTGAATGTCATGATTGAGAAGTGTCTTGAGGCGACCGAGGAGGATGATGCATCATCCAACACACCAAGAGTGTGCACTTAAGCCAAGTCGAGACATACGCAAGGTTCGAGAGAACGATGCGACACAAGGGTCGAAGATATGCTCGAAGAGGGCTGGGTAAGGCCCCGGGCAATAACCTCAAAGATGAAAGCTCATAAAATTTGGTGTCAATCGGATACTCGAAGAATGATGCATGGAGCGTATGACCGCTCGCAAAAGAAAGTCTACTCGATGAGAACCCAAATGGATGGATGTTCAAGGTGTCCCAATGAGAATCAAAACATGGGTCAATTCCCAACGAATGTGTCCAAGTAAGCTAAGAGGGACGAGGTGTCCTGAGACATGTGATGGCATCATGATGCATGGGTCGTGTTGTTGGAAACTGAGATAAAGATGAGATGCGATGTGGATTACAAGAGACCTTTATGAGTTAATAAGCTTGACTTAGCAAAAAGAAGTTATTACCAAGAATAATTTTAGGATAATTGTTTAGTTGTTATTGACTTGAATATATTTAGAGAAATAGTTAGTCTTTTGTTGGAATTATTAGTAGTTGATTAATTTGAGAAGAAAGTTTAGGAAACTAGTTGTGTTTTCTCTACTGTAAATACTCATGAGATGTATGTTATTTCACAACATAGAAAATTGAAAAGCATAAGTACTTAATGTTACTTATTTCAAAAGCTCTCTCGACTCGAGTTGTTCTTCCTACTTCAGCTGTTTGTTTCGACATATTTCGATCGTGGGTTATTTTCAACAATTGGTATCAAAGTTAGGATGTCGAAACAAATGTCATCACCATACAAAGTTATCAGAGGAGAAGTGACAATGATAAAGAGTGGAAGGGAGGGGAGTGTAACGCTTCGGTACCCGTTACTCATGAAGAGTAACTATGCAGCATGGTCGATAAAGATGCATGTTAACTTACAGGCACAGGGCATGTGGGACGCCATCAAGCATGGTGATGTTAAGAAGGTTGTTAGGATCGTTCAACAACATATACACTCAATCTAGATGAACACAAAGAATAGGATAGAGAAAATGGAAGGAGAATATTGGCTACAGAATTTGTATTGATGACTTCACGTATGTATAGTAAGAGAGAATATAGAGAATAGAGAAATACATTTTCAAAGCTATACCTGAGCAGATACATATATGGTTTAGCTTACTATATATAGCTTTATCAGATATAACTATCTACTATATATAATTATCTACCATATATTGCTTTACTAGATATAGTTTTTTACTACCTATAGCTATTTACTATTTATGAAAATTTATTTATATGTCATTTATCAAATATAGTTTTATGATGTATAACCATTAACCATTAACTAAGCTATAAATAAGCATCAGGCTCCATAACCTAACAATTCTCTCACTTGGAGACTGGTACAGTCAACCAAGAATTTCATTCTCAAACGATCATGAGCATCTTCACTGCACTAAACCAATTGAGGCTTTGCACATCCTCAATATTCCAACATCAACACAATAAGGCGCAAGGCACTAGGGCAAGCAGCAAGAGCACAGACGATAGGTCCTTGACACAGGGACAACAAACCCATATGATCGGGGCCAGATCGGTTCAGGAATTCGCAGGAACAGTGAAATTCGGCAACGGCTCTGTCATCGGAGATCGAGGGGTGCGCGGCACCTGAGGCTCAAGGCTAACCTTGTGAGCCTGGTCAACTCGATGATGCTGGTTGCTCACGTGTCTTGCAACATCATCTTCGACAAAAGCACCTTCTGGCAGTGGAACAACGTGACTGAGGTAGAATCGAAGGATGAAGACCTAGTGTGGGGGGGGGGGGGNGGGGGGGGGGGGGATGGAGTTTGCAACATCACGGACTGTCGAATTCGACGCTCGGAGATTGAGGGGCGGGGCACCTAAGGCTCAAGTCTAACCTTGTGAGCCTGGGTCAACTTGATGAGGCTGGTTGTTCACGTGTCTCGCAACGTCATCTTCGACGAAAGCACCTTCTGATAGTGGAACAATGTGACCGAGGTAGAATCGGAGGATGAAAGACCTAGTGGGGGAGGTGATGGAGTTTGCAACACCACGGACTGCTGAGTTTGACGCTAGATGCCAATAACGATGATAATCTGGTGGCTAGGTATCGGAGGATGAAAGACTTATTGGGGGACATGCCGCTGGGACACCGATGCCAGGAGGAGATGACATCCATCACTGAGAACCAGACGTAGAGTTTGGAGGACATGCCGTTGGGACACCGAGCCATAGGGGCTCAAATGGGTCTTCAAACTGAAGCATAATGAAGAGGGAGAAGTTGTGAAACACAAGGCCCGTCTAGTGGTTGGGCGAGCTCAAATGGGTCTTCAAACTGAAGCATATTGAAAAGAGGCACAAGGCCCGTCTAGTGAAGGAATACGTCTAGAAGCAAGGGAGTGGATTTGCGTAATGAAGAGGGAGAAGTTGTGAAACAAGGCCCGTCTAGTGGCGGGGCGGGCTCAAATGGGTGGTCTTCAAACTAAAGCGTAATGAAGAGGCACAAGGCCCGTCTAGTGGGCGGGGAGGGCTCAAATGGGTGGTCTTCAAATTGACGGGTAATGAAGAGGCACAAGGCCCGTCTAGTGGCGAAGGGATACGTCCAGAAGCAAGGAAAGTAGATTTTGAGAAGGTATTTGCATCGGTGGCAAGGCTGAAATCTGTCCGCCTATTGCTGGCAATCGCGGCACATCATTCCTGGGAGGTCCACCACATGGACGTGAAATCCGCGTTCCTGAACGGAGAGCTGAAGGAGATGTGGAGTTTGGAGGACATGCTGATGGGACACCAATGCAGGAGCTAGATGACATCCATCACTGAGAACCAGACGTGGAGTTTGGAGGACATGCCGCTGGGAGGCTGGAATCTGTCCGCCTATTGCTGACAATCGCGGCACATCATTCCTGGGAGGTCCACCACATAGACGTGAAATTCGCGTTCCTGAACGGAGAGCTGAAGGAGATGTGGAGTTTGGAGGACATGCTGATGGGACACCAATGCAGAAGCTAGATGACATCCATCACTGAGAACCAGACGTGGAGTTTGGAGGACATGCCGCTGGGAGGCTGGAATCTGTCCGCCTATTGCTGGCAATCGCGGCACATCATTCCTGGGAGGTCCACCACATGGACGTGAAATCCGCGTTCCTGAACGGAGAGCTGAAGGAGACGTGGAGTTTGAAGGACTTGTCGTTGGGACACCGAGCCATCACTAAGNACCAGACATGGAGTTTGGAGAACATGCCGATGGGACATCGAGCCATAGGGCTCAAATGGGTCGACGTGGAGTTTGGAGGACATGCCACTGGGACACCGAGCCATAGGGGCTCAAATGGGCCTTCAAACTGAAGGGTAATGAACGAGCCATAGGGCTCAAATGGGTCTCGCTGGGACACCGATGCAGGAGTCAGATGACATCCATCACTGAGAACTAGACGTGGAGTTTGGAGGACATGCCGCTGGGACACCGAGCCATATGGCTCAAATGGGTCGACATGAAGTTTGGAGGATATGCCGCTGGGACACGGAGCCATTGGGACTCAAATGGGTCTTCAAACTGAAGGGTAATGAACGAGCCATAGGGCTCAAATGGGTCCTGCTAGGACACAGATGCAGGAGCCCGATGGCATCCATCACTGAGAACCAGACATGGAGTTTGGAGGACATGCCGTTGAGTCACCGAGCCATAGGGGCTAAAAATGGGTCTTCAAACTGAAGCGTAATGAACGAGCCATAGGGCTCAAATGGGTCTTCAATGTTTAAGATCAAGGGAAGTTATTAGCAGTTATTAATGTGTGGCTAAGATTGTAAGAAGTTAGTTTTTTTTTCTGTCTATATATGTAGTGTGTAACAAGTTGAATAAAATAAGTAAGTTGGTTTTGTTTATTTTCTAAGTATTGTCTCTATTAGAGAATAACGTTATTGTGCAAAAAATCACTTTCTTGTATGTGTGTTTCTGTCATTTGGTATCGGAGCGTGGTTACATGCCAAAGATCATGCCGAGAAATAATAACAACACTGGAGAGAGAGGAGAGTCGTCAAAGTCTGCAACAAAGGAAGGTCTGGTATCACTCCAATACCCGATGTTATCAAGAACCAACTACTCAGCATGGGCTATGAAGATGAAGGTCTATTTACGTGCTCAAGGGGTGTGGGACGCAATCGAATCAACTGAGTCTCTGGATAGTCTTGATGAAAAGAAGGATCAAATAGCCTTAGCAGCTATCTATCAAGCAATCCCTGAGGAGATGTTGTTTTTGTTAGCAGAGAAAGAGACAGCAAAAGAAGCATGGCCGACGTTAAAAACTATTCATGTGGTGTTGAACGTGTAAAGGAGGCAAAGATCCAAACTTTGAAGATCGAGTTCGAAATGATAAATATGAAGAAGTCCGAGACAATTGATGATTATGCAGCAAGGTTGACAGGAGTTGTTAATAAAATACGTACTTTTGGAGACAAGTTTGAAGAGGCATACTAAGTTTCTTCATATCGCATCGGCAATAGAACAATTTGCCGATTTAAAGAAGATGACTATGGAGGAAGTCATCGGCCGTCTTAAAGCATATGAGGAATGGATCGGTGGCAACAAAGAGACTGCTGAGCATGTCTTATTGACTCAAGGAGAATGGAAAGCAAAAGAATCGAAAGGCAAAGGTGAAAG